TAAGAGTAATGCTTTTCCCTGAAATAGATAATTTGGTAGCTATTTTGAATAATTGTAAAAACTTGCGGATGTGGACTGGTGTGGACATCCTAGGGATGAAGAGGGGCTTGATGTGACCAGGATTGATGATCTGCTTGGTTGCAGTTGGGCCATCATGGAACCAACCCCTTCACCTGGTTGCTGGGCGCAGCACTTGTGATCCAGTGCTGTTTTAGCTCTGCAGGAGACCATTATGGCTTCCATGATCAGTTTTAGGCTATATTTTGAAATACAGAACAATATATTTATCCATGACATATAGCAAAAACTTTTTCTCAGACCTTCCATAATATTTATACTGTACAGTAGGTAAATGTTGGCAACTTTCCACCACCAGATGGCAACAAAGAAATGCAACTAAATCTTTGCTGCCATCTAGTGGTCAATCAGTTGCTTGGTTGGTAGATTGATTACCAACAATCAACAATTTTAAGAAACTCCCAAAGGTGCTTTTTCAAAAGGCAGATGGACTTCCTTTTTTTTTTTTCGCTTTAAAATGTTTCACTTCTCATCCAAGCAAAGCTTTGTTTTGTTTCAAGCAAAACAAAGAAAGCCCAGTTGCCTTTTGAAAAAAAGCACCTTTGGAATAACCATGACCTGGATGACTGAGAATATCCGTAGAACTTTTTTGCTGCCATTTAGTGACCGTTAAGTCAATAATTGGAAGTCCTTTGTGTGGGGGCAGAATTATTGGATGCAGTGCCCAAATCCTGGCCTTCTAAGAACCATTGACACATTCTGCATGGCAGCTAGAGAAAATTTTTCCTACATTTGGTGATGTTGAAAAATCTTGTAGTGTCATGTGATTCAGCTGTATGGCTATTTCAGATGTGTGGTAAAGGTGCATTATGGAAGCAGCAACATTTGCGTATTAGGTCCCCCCAGGCTCCTAGTCAGGAGGAAAGAATAGCAAAAGTGGCTGTATGGGAAAGACACTAGAATGTAACAAATTTTTGCGGGAGGCTGGACACTGAATTGATATGCAGAGTTAGGGACAAGTAGTAGCATCTGAGTTCTAGCCATAGTCTATCCACTGCAGGATGAAGCAGGTTCCACATGCTTCAAACCAATATGGTATGGAGCTTTCTTTTGCCAATTGGGCCAGTAATACTGTGTTTCCCTGAAAATAAGACAGAGTCTTATTTTCTTTTGACCCCTGAAATAAGTGCTTGGCCTTATTTTCGGGGAGGTCTTATTATTTTTGAGGTGCAGGAGACGGTGAGTGGGGTCACCTCATGGCTGCTGCTGTGTTGCAATATTTTTGGGGAGGGCTTATTTTAGCACATGCGCTCAAAAGCCTGATTGGGCTAATTATCCGGGGAGGTCTTATTTTTGGGGAAACAGGGTGCTTGCTGACATTGTAGTTCTATCTTGTTTTAGGTCTCTTTTGGGGGGTCACTTTTTATCAAGTAGAATCCATTCTATGACTGCCTTGGTCCACTTGCCATAAGTTCTTCTTGCTGACCAGCCCATTTCCATTTCAATTCTTTTACTCTCTTGATGCTATCATATACATTCGTTTGCATCTGAGTTACATGGTTCCATTTGCAGATGGACTCTAGGACTCTTGATTTACACACACACACACACACACACACACACACACACACACACACACGTATTCCAAGTTTATCCTTTTCCCTTTTTTTGGTACCTGTCTCACACATAACAATACGTTTTTATATTGAGATCTGTGAGGTAGATTTTAGAACATTTTACAACTACCACATTTTAGAAACTGAAGCCAGTTGTGGCTTCCTTTTTAATAAGTGGGTGGGTTAACAGGTAGTCTGAAATGAAACAAAACATATGTCCTATGACTCACAGAGTTCACTGAGAAAAGCCGAAGTAAAACAGGTGGCAGCTGAGTGCACATTTCCCTCTTCTCATCCTGTCAGTAGCTCGCTCCACCCTGCTTTCATCAGCTTAGTTTCTCCTTTTATTTCTTATTTTTCACATCAGTCCCTCACAATCTTTAAGTGCTTTTGTCATAAAGAAGAGCTGTTTGCTCACATTTCTTTTATTGCTTCTTGGAGTTTGCTTAATCTTTAGATATTTACAGAAAACAGACTTTGAAATTATTTCTATATTTTAGAGATGTAATTAGAAAAAAAAAAGTTAAGGCAAGCTTGCAGTGCATTACTTTGGAGATTCTTCCCAAACTCTTCTAAAAAGCTCCCCCTGGCTCAGATGATTAGGAAGGAAGAGGAAGGGGACGCTTAGAATGGAGAAGTCAGCAACATTCTGAGCAGCAGCCCAGCATTCTGTCCCGTAGGACACAGCTGTAGCAGCATCTCTTGGGATGGAAATGGTAAATCTCAGAAGCTCCAGCTTGCACAATGAATAAATTTAAAAGAAATAGTTATTTTATATGTTCTTAGGCAATAGTTCACCAAATGAATGGGATATCATGATATAAACATAAATAAGACGAACTAGCTGATAACCCGGCATTGCCCGGGTATTTATTTATAGGGGGAAAATGTCTGGACCAAACATAATTTCTAATGTTGGATTCTCCACCACCCCCCTTACCAGAGGGAGGCCCCTTGTGGAGTACTGTGAAGCCGTTACCATGGCAACTCCACTGCGCTGTACAGTCGAAGCCATTTTACGGCAGTACAGTAGAAGTCATTTTAAGGCACAACAGGCTGTATCTTAACAGAACACACACACCAAGGGTTTTCAGGGGTGTCTTACCTCCACAATATTTTTTTCCCAGAGAGTAACTAATCTGTGTACCAAGTTTGGTTGAAATTGCTCAAGGCGTTCCAGAGTTATGCTGGAACATACACGCAGCAATTTTTAGGTTGTAAAGTATCTTCCAATTAATGTAATGTATAAAATAATGATTAACAGTTTCAGCCATAGAATAAACTTCTGTTAATGAGTAAGCTGCCATGACTCAGGGCTTTATCTACATAATAAATTAGGGGTCTGTACGCACACATGCACGCATGCATGCACACCCACACACCCACCCCACACTCACACACTCTTATAAGTATATGGTTAGAGCAGTGGGACAGTGGCTGGGTCAGTACCAACAAGTGGAACCTTACTCTCCCTGTCACAATATCCAAAAAGGATTAAAGTGATTAAAGTGTTTGCACACTTGAAGGGCTGTGTAATAATTAACAGAAGCTGCTTCCGCACCAAGGTGAACATTTTTAAAGCTTTGACCTTAAACTGGGGAAAAGGTCTCACAATCCTTTAGCTCCATTTCAATTGTAGGGGTTTAGCAGAAAGGCATCAAGAAAAAAATTGGGACAAGCTAAGCATGACCATTCATCCATTTTGGATCCATTTAGGTTGAACAGGCATTCATGTAAGTGAACAGGGTGCAGCTTTAAGATCTCCTTCCCACACCCAATCTTCCCTGCTTTTCTTTTGAAAATGCAGAGAGCTATACAGTTCAAGTTGTTCAGGTTTGAGCTGTATTTAGTAAAAAAAAACCTCTAGTTAGTTGAACCGGCTTGTGAAAAGTAAACATTTTTTGTTTTGTTCACTGTAGGTAAATTGGGCTCCTTCCTTCTTTAAAATCCAATTTGCACATTCTCTGGAAAAAAGAAAATCATCCAGGAATGTCTCTTTCTTATGTTCTATATTTAATGAGAGATTAAGAAAGTGAGTGAGTCAGAGCACTTCAATAACCACTGTGCTGATCTGGAGCTTGGTTTATTTGTTTTTCATATTGAATGAAGTGTATGTTTATGAAAATCTGACTCATGTAGTAAAAGACAGATGTAATCCTGACTCCGCAATGGCCATATTATAAACTAGCTTATTTATATGGCCACTCTGAAATCAAGAAAACAAGTTTCAGATGTTTAAACTTGCCTGTGATTTGTGCCAGCAGTTTTCAAACTTCTATATTATGCAACCTCTCAGTCATCTTTAAAAGCATTGGAAAACCATCTTATAACCTTGATGTCAGTAACACAATGCTGCAGATTCCATAGCACAAATGACCTGTTTTGATAGCCCGTGGAATCCCAAAATGGAATGGAATGCTTTTGAATGAGAAAGTCAGTCATATAAAATCTGGTAACATTACCATGTACTTGCCTGAAAGATTCCAAGATTTGAAGGTAAAAAACCACATTTTCCCAGATTTCCCAAGTTTTAACTATATACTTATGAACTTGCACTAGAAACTATCAACATTATTTTGGAATGCCACTGTTCCTTAGATCAAAAGTTGGTCACTTAGTTAAGCAAATATATTTGCTATAATGGTTTTGTATATTTCCATAATATAGATGTGTAATTTAATAGTGACATTTAATTTGAATTTAAAAGGAAAATTTAATGGTGACTTTTTTTCCTACATAACACTGCTTTTCAGCCTTCTGGACGAGAAGCTCGTCTCCCTGAAGTTTATTGCATTGTAAGCTGTCTTGGTTGCTTTGGACTATTTTCAAAGGTATGTTTTCTAAGTAGTCTGTTGCCTGAAATACAAAAAAACATCAAACTCTTTGTTAGGTAGCACAGGCAAAAATAAATGTTCTGCTGTTCCTAATCTTGTTTCATCATAAGATTAGCTTTCTATATTTTTCTTCTGATCTTTCACAGAAAAAAAAGGAAAGAAAGTCAGGCCCCTCATCCCAGATATTTGGGAATTAGCTGTGGCTACTCATTGGGATATATTTTGTTCATTTAGAAAATTTTCACCATTATTAGAATGAAAAAGCAATATAGCATTTTGAATACAGAAAAAAGTAGCTCAGTTCAGATAATTCAGCTATTTCGAGTTACTTGGTGTACAAATGAATAATACAAGAAGCTTTGAGCTAAATTTAAAATGTCACTTCAGTCATAGTTTTCAAGACCAGATATAACTAAATTCACTATGCCTTCTCAATTCCTCTTGTGAAAGGAGAATGAAAATGACTAGATCCATGTAGGTTCTTCCAAGCTTGGTTTAACCATTATCTATCACGGTTACCATTTCTTGACCTTTGGTTCCTACACCTTGGTTCTGAGGATGAAATTTGTTTGAAGGAGACACATGATTCAGGAGGAGATGGTATCAAGACTTGTTCATCGCGCATCATTACTTTGCTTAAGACTGCTGGTTTTGAATAATTTCAGGAGGAGTAAAGCCATGATCAAGAGTCGAGGTGGGAAGCTGCAAAATGATGGTTATCCGTTTTCTTCTTGTAGATTTTGGATGAAGTAGAGAAGAGGCGACAGATCTCTGCAGCAGTTGTCTACCCCTTCATGCAGGGCCTACGTGAATCTCCCTTCCCAGCACCAGGAAGAACTGTTACCATTAAAAGCTTCATTCCTGAATCTGGGACAGAGGTGTGTGCCTACTTGAAATACCTTTGGCTGATTCTAACATGACTTGTAATTAAACACTATAATTAAAATCATTCTGTTAAGCAAATGTATAAACCAATACCTTCCAACAGGGTTTTAAGAAAAACAATTGAACGTCCATAGAATTAATACGGTTTGTTTGATTGATAGCAAGGAATAATCTGTAAAAGGTCTGAGTTGAGAGGACTGACCTCCATTTGAGACAGTATCAATCAGTAATATCATACCTTCCATATGTTTGCTCATGCCCAATCCATAGTGAATTGTTTACAAATATCTAGGGCCATTTCTCTAATTATTCTTTTTGCCTGATTGCATTCCAAAAGGAGCAATTGTGCTCAGTGTCACCTAAATTGCCTTTTGTTCCAAGGATTGAAATTGGTCTTCCAGGACTATTGGAATCAGGAAAAAGTGGCATTTAAGCCAATAAGGGAGTATTAACAATGTTGTTCATGGCTGTAGGCCTCAGAAATCCATCATAGCAGAGATGTCCAAAATGTCTGCCTGCCTCTGCAGAGTTTATTTGGCTTTTATACAGTTTCAACAAGCAAAGCAAGAGCATAGGTAGCAACAGCATCTTATTGGCTTATTCTCCTTGTCAATCTCTAAGACCATCCCAGCCAGGGTAGAATCTCACATAACTCCCCGATAGTGTTTGGTTCTTCTAATTAGGTGAGCTCATAGATAGTTGAGGTAATCGGTCACTAAGGTGCATAGCAGTTTGCTGCACATGCCTGTACATAACCTTTGTATAACCTCTACACACGGCTCCACTTTTGGTTGTCCTGCTTCTATTTTAAGGGACACATTAAGTGTGCATCAGGGCACCCAGAAGAGTTTTTGCAACAACTTTGGGGGCTCAAAGTGATTTATAATGAATAAGGAAATCCTGGTCTGTATCAGAAAGTATTTGGGTCATAGGTTTTGCTATGTAGAATTTCAGAGCTGCTTGTGTGCAGTCCCTACCTTTTACCTGGATACATTTCTTTATGGCTCTTGCATTCTTTTGTGCTTGTAAAACAACATATGCATCTTTGAAGCAATTGTGGCCTGGAAAAGTCCCCCTGAGTATTCAATCATTTCATTCTATTTCATTTTCATCCCCTTGATAAGTCATTTAAATCTGTTTGGTTTCCTGGCAAGAACAACCATTTAGTTTTCTGATCATTAATTACCAGCAGATGGTTTTACAGTAATGGGTAAAAGATCTAAATGCAGGGCTGCACCATCAGCATACAGAAGAACAGAATATCCATTCCTGTAAACTTGGGAGTGGAAACCTGAATTCGATAATCTACTTGCTAAGAAGTTTAAATAGAGATTAAATAGGGTGGGGACTAAATTTTATCTAATTCCCTTTCAGAGATTGGATTAGTCAAAATACTTAAAGGATTACTCCTAATTCTTTACCAAAACATGAAAAATGGCAGTTTCTCCTTCACTTGACATTTTCCTTCACCATCTCAGACAGGAAGGAGTTGCCACTAGTGCCACTGTTTAACCTCAATGAGGTTGACAAATTAGGAAATGACCATTGAGGTTTTGAAACTGATTTCATTGAAACAGAGAGTCAAGAAACTGCCACAGCATGAAAGATTTAGAAGTAGATATGAAAATATTTAATTAGTTGAGGATTGAGCAGATGAGAAGCTCCTTTTTATGGTTTGTTTCTACTCAAAAACCGCCCATTTTAAGCACAGCAAAAAAAAATGTGAAACTTAATACAACCTATAATCATCTCTATACTAGCGTGTTTTTTGTTAACCAAGAGGAACTTGGTTAAACTCATTCAGTCATCTAAGGAATGAAGGCTGTTAATAGTTGCTAAGAGAACAGTATAATAAAATGTGAATCAGTGATTCAGTATTCTCAGACAGACAGAAGCCCTTTTCACATAGAGGTTTCTCTAGAATCCACACATGATGACAAGACATCAGAATGCAATAATAGGAAACCAAACTTATGTCCTAATTATATTTGGGTGGTATTTTGCCATATTCAGTTTGCAATTGTACATTAAGGATCGTTGTTTAAGAAATATCATGGTCTATGCTTGTCCTGATCGTCGAGTGATGCATTTGGTAATTGGTGATTGGTAACTGATGCAGCCAAATCTTTAAAAAAATGGAATGTGTTTAACTGTCAAGTATGATTTCCAGACATAAGAGAGGTTCTTGTGTAATTCATAGTTCTTTAGGGAGAGATCCAGTTTTTATGCTCCTTGTCACAACAGCACAAGAATCCACCACAAAACACAGACTTTCCTTGCTCGGTTGCATTGTCTTCTGTGTGATTTGCTATACTGACTTCCTGTTTTGGTATTAGAGTTTTCTCTCTGTCAACTATCAGACAATGACGTTTTGGTATTTGGTTTCCTGACTTGCTCAGTGCTTCATGCAACTGGAGGAGTTTGATGGGGTGTGCAGAACATATTCTTCAAAAGCATCTGTATCTTTCTATTCACCTTATATGGGCATAGAAAACGTCTTTGTACCAGCCTCATGTTGAACTGACTTTCTGGGAAAACAGATTATTTTAACCATTGTACTGCACCAACAAAATAGCAAAAGATATTTTCTAAAACTTCTCTTCCAATTTTTTTCAAATTAAACATATTCATCTCCCTCCCTCTCCCTCCCTCTCTCTCTCTCTCTCTCTCTCTTTCTCTCTCCCTCTCTCCCCCTCCCCCCTCTCTATATGTATGTATCAAAAATATTGAGAAGGAGAGCTGTGTTTGTTTATGATATAGTAGTCAAAAATCAGAAGGATTTAGTATCTTTTCCAACTCAGAATGGTGTTAAATTGCATAATATTAGCTACAATTCTCTTCATAAACTCACTGAGGCACTTGATAAAGTGAGATGTAACTCTTGACATTTTATGAAA